AAAATATGTATCGAGCATATACTAATCGAACAGAACTTAGAAGAAAATCTCAAATATGCCGAAAACATGCAGAATATTATACTTGGGATAAAGTAGCGGACAAAATTTTTAAAAGACTATCTCAAATAACTCACTGACATTCTTAAAATGTGATTATTGATACTTCTTTTATTTTCATATTTTTTTGTCTTCTCCTATTATCGTTAATATTTTCAAAATCTCTCCAGTATGAGGGTGTGGGAATATTGTCTTTATTATGCCAACGCCCGCGATATTCACAAATAAGCAATAGAATAAAAAATAAAATATATCAAAGAAGTAAAGTAAAAGATCAAGAACATAAAAATAAAACCATCTTGAGGGTGTGGGTGCGGATGCAATATCAATATATAATACCCACATGCTCACTCATCCTCAAGATTATGTAAGAAATGATATTAAATTCATAATTTACACCAAATTATTTGTATCAATCGATTAAAAAATCTAAAAAAGATCAATAGTATTTGACTTGAAGCTTGAATTCAACTACAGAATCGTCTTGTGAAAGGCAAATCTCTATCATCACTACCGGTGTGAATCTTCTTTAATCTAGGCACCTACTCATCCTTCTATTGAGATTTATGCATAGTATTTGCGTATATTTGACAAACTGACTAGATAATTTTGTAAAGCAAACTTTTTATACTTTTATTTTTAGAGAAAAAACAGTATTTCAAGCTTGTTAAGTAATCGTTTCTCAGTGATATTTAAAAAGTTTCTTTTTTATCAAAATGATCACTGTAAAACTCTTTAAAATTTGTTTAAATTTACTACGCATCTACGAAGTATTATTACTGTTTCATTCATTTATACAATAACTAAAATTATTCTTATGCATCCAAATGAAAGTTTTCGTTAGAAATAATTTCTAATTAAAAGATTTTGTGCAACAATAATTTACATCAAATACAACGTGCTTATTTTAATGCATTTGATAATTTCTTCGTCTTCAAAAGTAGCACAGCATGATTGTGACCTACATTTTGAGAAAGAAAATTGTGAGATAAAATATTTAAACATGCAGAAGGAAAAATTGAGCTTTTTCTTTCTTTGTTCGCATTCCTTAGCTCAAAATAATTATGAAATTATGAGTTAATATATTTTTAATCTTCTCTCTACAAATGCAAAACACGTTGTAATTAAAATCATGTGTAGAAGTATTGATTCAGTATGAATTTTCAGAAAATACGAAGACTTTTGTGTCACGATAAAAGATCAAATAATAATGTTAAAGCACACAAATTAATATTTTGTTAATGTCGTAGTAAAAACGAAGCTGATACCGGAAGTCACGTAGTTTAGAAAAAAGAATGGAAAGAAAAAATTCATAGATAATTATAATGATTAGTTCCTTTTCTATTCGTTACATGTCGGAAATTATTTCTAACTTAGTGATGGGTGGTATATAACGAATGAGTCTCTCGATATTTCTCACCTATAATTCATCTTGAAAAGAAGCTTAACTTTCAAACAAGAACTTTTTGATAGGATTAGAATATCATGAAATTGATGTACCGTGTAGAAATGTGACTGAGTAGGTTTGGTAGAGAAAATTGTCTTCTACAAAACTAAATATCTCATATGTCTTCGAAATATTCTAATCGAATTTTTATGCTTATTGATGAGAAATATGTAAATTATTAGGAGACTCATTCATTATGGGCTACCCGTTTGAAATTATTATAAGTAAGTTTAAATAGTGTTTTAGATCTTCAAAATTAATTATTGACGAGGAAACAAATAAATATGTCAACCGCATTATTACCAGTCATTCAAACTCAACTTGTTCGCTTTGGAACTACGGTTATATTATTTCTGGGTTGTTTTGGTAATGGATATGTTGTATTTCTTTTCATTCGACATCGTAAGAATGCTTGTGCGATGTTTCTATTAAGTGCAGCGGTAATGAATATTATTTATCTCGTCTTTAGTATTCCTCTCACAGTATATACTTATGAATATGGTGATCCATCATTATATTCAATGAGTCTATGTAAATTACGTTATTATCTGTTTCATGTGTGGGGTCAAATGTCTAGATATTTCATTCTTCTCGCATGTATTGATCGCTTTGCTTTAACACATATGAATGCAAACATGCGAGCATTAAGTCAACCACATATAGCTCGACGTTGGATTGTTATTACGACTATTTTTTGGCATTTATTTGCTTTGCATATTGTGATTATGACAACTGTGAAGAATGGACGATGTGGTTATTTTGATCTTTATTCAACGTTGAATAGTATCTATGTTTTGATATTTGTTTGTTTATTGCCACCAGTAGGTATGGGTATATTTGGATATTTAGCTTTATTGAATATGAAACGATTGCATAATCGCGTACAAACAACTGGAACTGCGAATGCGAGCATTGTTATTCATCGACAAGATCGAAATTTATTAGTAATGGTATTAGCCGAAGTCCTGATCTATGTTGTGACAATGAGTCTATATCCAGCGATTATTCTTGAATTAGCAGTAACCAATCCTATGGCTACTAGCAAAAGTCTTCAACAAGTGCAAATTGAAAACTTTATTCTCTTCATTGCACAAATTCTTATTTATATCAATACCTCAGCACCGTTTTATATCTATTTAACTGTTTCGAAAACTTTTCGTAAAGATTTCAAAGAAACGTTCAATATTTTTATTCATACATCATAAAACTATGCTAATCAAAAGATCAATAAATTATTTAACGGAAGACATTCAATTATTGTTGTCATTTGTTTCCAGCTTCTGTTTGTTGATATATTGTAATTAATGTCTTTATTACAAAACACGTAGACGAAATGAATTCTACACTCTATTGTATTTATTCTTTAAAAGCACTGATTCAAAAAAGAATTAATTTAAAATCGATTAAATTGTGAATTGATATGTAGTATTCATGCTATAATCATTTTGTTTTGTTGTGCTTACTAATTAAAGTTTAAAGTCTTGTGAAAGAAAGTATTATCAAAGTAGGAATTGTTTGATTGAAGTTTGTACATGTTATAGTCATGATGACTATATATAGTTTAATTGATTTTTGTTTCAGAAATTTTTTGGTATGAAGCAATAAAGCTTTTGTTAAAAAACGATTGAAACTATGATTATTTAACTTTGTGTGTATCTAGAAAATGAAATGATTTGTACAAATTACCATTGTTAAAAGTGTTTCATTGATCGTTTTCTTACGAAAGTTTGTGAATAATTCTCTAATGTTCATCTTACCGATTATTAAACAAGTCAATAAATTTTAGGCTTCTTTTATTTCATTGCCTTCAAGATTGAGTAAAGCCAGTATCGAGTTAGAAAATATGATATATAAAAAAAAGAGTGAACGATTGTATTAGATTCATCATTAAAATATATTCACTTGATTATAATAAAAGAATTTAAGTTTATTTGAAATGATAAAGAAATGGCACATATGAAGTATTCAAGTTATGCAGAAGTAATTAAAGAATAAAAGGTGTATTTTTTAAATTTAGAGTGATGTGTAATAAAGAATGAAACTCATATTTATGAATGTGAAAAAAATTGAACCCGATTGTTAGAAGTATCGGATACATATAAATTCAGTTGATTATCAACTATTACCCAACAGGGATAATTTAATTGATTCTGGCTCGTGCCAGGTGAACCTGTAACGCCAGCGATTGTTGTGCCGTTCGATTGGCCTGCAACGAAGAACTGAATGCGATGATTGTCTGAATCAACTACATAGATATTGCCTATTGGATCTAATGTGATGCCGATCGGTTGATTGATAAGTGTCGATGTGCTACCACTTGATCCAGTAGGACTGCCAATGACGAGTGTCCAGCTACTTGCACCTAACACCCAACGGACAATATTATTGGTTTGAGCATTAGCAATTAAAAGACTATTTGAGGACGAATCAAAAGTAAAACCATATGGATACGCCAGTTGTGTAATACCAGGTCCTGCACCATTTCCACCAGCAACTACTGTACCCGAAGAAGCATTCAAAAGATATTGCATTATTCGATGATTGTATGTATCGGCTATATAAAGTGTACCTGTGCTTGAGTCACGGGCTATACCACACGGGCCATAGAAGGTATTGTTTGTAGATCCCGCAATACCTAAATTAGAATTGTATAGAACAATTTCTTTCTTATATTCTATTAGGCGTTCTGAGCTCAATTTTTATAACAATATACTAAGAATGTTCATTATTTATTTCAATTTCTTAAGCTCTCAATGATCTGTTATTTTAGTAATCAATAACAAGACATTATTTTTTACAGAAATTACTAATAATTAAGTATATGTTCTCTCTATGTAGCAGATTATTCTCAGCAGACTTTCTTTTCATGCAATTTTGAATTAATAGATCAGAAAATGATATTAAATAAAGATTTTCAATCATAAAACGAGAATTAACAGTTTACAAATATTTTTTTCTATCTTTTCGTACCTGTAATACCGGCAATCGTAGTGCCAGATGATGCACCATTTGCCCAATATACAACTCGATGGTTATTTGTATCTGTAAAATACATATTATCATTAGAATCAAGTACAACACTGGCAGGCGAGTTTAAAGTAACTGAGCTTGCACCAGCAGTGCCATTGGATAGACCGGCCACCGTTGTACCATTCGATGCATTTATTAACCATCTTTGTATGCGATTGTTGTTAAGATCGGCAATATAAAGTGAGTCGAAAGAACCCAATGCGATCCCATTTGGAGCATAGAGCAGATTATCTGCTGTGCCTCCAGAACCACTACTCGCACCAGCTACAGTGATGCCCGTTGTATTCCAACGATACAGGCTCGGAGTATCTAGAAAAACAAATGAAATCTATAGTATGCATATTACACCTCACTGTTAGTTATAAAATCGATGAATGTATATTCTCTTTCGTATTTTATATATATTGGATTTATTTGTATGATCCATGAAAATTCACTACTATCTTTCAGAATCTCCTATAAACTATGAGAGTTAATGTGATGCCCCAATTTGGATCTCGATGAAGAGATTACACATACCTATGTCTCTTTTCTTACCGTCAGCATTATAAGTCTTTGGAAATTAGAGTAATCTGCAGAAAATTCTAGTAATATACATATCTATTCTTAATGAAGTTAATAATGAAAATTTTTTAATATCAGTAACTTTAACTTTAACTTCTGTACTTTCTTCCATTTACACAGTTTTTCTGTCGTTGATGCTCATCTCTATAACAACATGAAATTTATTCATGAATGAAAGAGAAATACAAAGTAGTCTAGGAGCAAATTTAATAAGCTTCCTACCTGCTAATTTGCTCTGCTGAAAGTCATAAACTATTGTATTCATCGAGACGGTAAGATTCACTGGTGTTATTCGCCCGCTATATAACGAACATTGAGGAATAGTTAAACTATCAAATACAGCAGTATTGCAATTGGTAAATAGATTTGCACATTGAGCAGCACAAGTTATTTGATATTTTACGGTCAGACGAGTGATTATGGTGCCTGTTGAATTATAGCTCATGTTATAGTAGACATTGCCTATTGTCGAAAGCAATGCATTCGCACTTGTAATCCAAATAAGATAATACATGCATAATATATACAGATAGGCCATCTTGATTATCTGAAAACAAGTTTATATAATTAATAACATTCATACAATATTAGCTTATATCTCTTTTTAATGCTTTCCTATGCATCAGTTTAGTTTGTTCAATTTTAAAAGAAGCTTTTATTTCTATCCAGTAAATGTTTCAACTAAATTGCATTTGATCAGACACGTAGCTCACTCAAACCCCCAAGATGTTTTTGATAAAATATACATTAATGCCTATTATTCATTTCAACATAAAACAAAAATTAAATATAGATCGTGGAATTTCATTACTTAGAAGAAGAAATGAATAGTAGGCATGACTGTATATTCGACATTGGGAATAAACCAAGTTCGAATTAGGGGTGTTACTTTATTTTTATTTTACTTTATAATAAAGAATAAAGTAACAAAAATCTTTATCTTTATTTTATAAAGAATAAAGATTTACTTTATCTCTTTACTTTATTTTTAAAATAAAGATTAACTTTATTCTTCATAAAATAAAGATAAAGTAGATCTTTATTTTAAAAAATAAAGTTAAAATAAAGAATAAAGAAAATGTTTTCAAATGATTAGTAATTAAACAAATTATTAATATATAAAGAGATAATATTGATCGCAGTTTTTTCTGACCACCAGCCACATTCTAATAAGGAATAATGCTAGCAAATGAACGTGGGGCATAAGAGATTTATGGAAAAAATTTCTTTATTCTTTATTTTAACTTTATTTTTTAAAATAAAGTAACTTTTTCTTTATCTCAATTTCTCAAGTATATTTTAGTAAAAAGTATAGTAATAAGAAAAAAAAGTGAAAATATCTATGAAGATGCACTGCGTACGTCGTTGAGAAATGAAACAAACAAGTAAATAGTATGTTCTTTAAACACATATAAGAATATACTGATTAAAATGGTGTTTTGCTCTTTTTCCTCTAGACAATTAAAGAACCTTTTTAGGGTGACTACTAACGTCTGCATGTTGTTTTATATGTCTATCGAGTGAACGACAGCCGAAGAAAAAAAAGCGAGACGAAGTGTACAATGCATCTTCGATAATTATTATTTACATTAGAAGAACTTCTACTTAAAAAAGAGTTGTTTTATTTTAGGAAAAATTATATTACAGATAGTTTTGTTATTATCCCTGATGATTTTATATTCGAAAGTACATATATAATGATAATGGATGAAATTGAAATAAACAACAAACCTGTTAAACATTTTTCAGTTTTATTAATTTTCAGAAAGATCAGAGATAGGTGTTAGTGTGAAGCTCGATGAGTTTTCACGTTGAGATGTCAGATAACTATGGAAATAAAATCCGACTAACACTACAATGCTTCAAAATGTGCATTTTTATAGAATTAATTATTTCATTTTTTCTAGTGAAAGAGACATGAGATCCTACTATAATACAAGTTGCTTATGCTTCCAAGTGTAATTTTTCTATGAAAGCTCAAACGAAACTATTCGGATACGACTATGAAGTTCCAGCGGTTAATTGCATTAAAAAAACGAATTGAAACCATCTATCGTTCTTGTTATACATCTCAAGTTTGCGCTCGTTGAGACCTCTAAAACAAAAAAAATAAAGGTTTTAAATAGAGAAATGAAGAAGTGATTTCAATTTTACTGATTGAAAACCATGTTTTAAGAAAAACGCAAAAGAAGTTTGAAAAGCGATTTTTTCATCGAAATTTCGAAAAAACTCGTAATAAAATGACAATAGATTTTTTGAAAGTATATAATAAACAAAGTTAACTAACAGGAATGTGTCACCTGTGAGGTACACAACCTACCTCCAAACTTTAAAAATATATAATCCTTATCATGGGTACTGGTAAATGCGTAGAAATCAATATAAAAACATTTTATGCAATGCAGAAGCAAGTGGGAACACAGTTTTTCAGAAAGCTACATATATTCGGACAGAGGAAGCCTCGGTGCATCTTCGCATGTAAAAAACTCAATTTCCATTTTTTTCGACTACCTGGATTTTCTGAGAGAGGGTTCTCTGTATAAATTAGTACTACATCCAATTTACAATTTATCACAGAATAATTGAATCTGCAAGTTTCTAATTAGAAATTCAATTTTGTTGCAACAAATTGTAAATTTCATTACAAAAAGTACAGCTAAAATAATAAAGAAAGAAGCATATCAATAAAAATAGCATTTACCTAAAGTTAATATTATAATGTTGATTTAACTGTTTGAAGACGAGATTGTTTTGAGAGAAAATGAAAGTTCTTCAGAAGCTGAAAATAATAAATATTCATTACAACGGGATTAAATGCAAATATTGAATACATTATGTTAGTGATGACATATTCATCGCCTGCTTTAGTATGTATAATTATACCTGCACGATAAAAAGCCTACACAAGTTGCGCTGTATTCAATCACAGCCGAATGTAAATAAACACTCCCGTTCTCAAGCGGTTAAAATCAATAGAGAATAGTTTATTTTAAAGAAAATTCATAGTTATTTCAGTGTTGCTAGATGTTAAACTTGAACCGTTAAAACTTCAGTTTCAAAATCCGAAAAATCTGGAAATTTTTTTCATAAATCTAGAAAGATGTTCTACGATCAATTCTTTAAAAGCATTGATTCAAAAAAGAAATTAATTTAAAATCGACTAAATCTATTCGGCAAGAAAAAAAAGTTAATAGTCTATTTCCGATTGCATTATCAAATGAGTTCGCTTTTTGAAACAAGATTTCTGCCTTGCAAATATATGTTCTTTTCGGGATCTGACCAAGGCATATCATAGGAAGGTGAGTTCACGTAGCGATCCATACTAAGTTGTAGTGTTGATCCAGTGCCGGCAGGAAGTACAACTTCCAGCCATTTATGGTTAACCACCGTGGTTTCAATCGCATCTCCCACTTCGTTCAAGGTATGTACTTCGTTGAATCGATGCTCTCCAAATGTACCAGCTTGAATAATAAGCATGCGTTGTGAAAACAAATCGACATTGACCAGTTCTAAAATGACTGAATGATTTTTAAGTTCTTTAACTAGCGCAGCAATGGATTGCGGAAGTCCAGGACGTTTCTTCTCGGCATCATAATATCGTACTCGTGCATGTTGCAGCCCTCCATGAGATATATGCTTTGGTCCACCTAAGGTGAGTTGAACAAGACTTTCCATATACAGGGGACACATTTCTTGCCAAACATGAATGCTAGAAAAATCGTCTTCATTATATTGGTTAGCCCAGTTCAGAGGATTTCCTGCTTCTGATCGCAATCGCTTTAGTTGCTGTGCAATCAATTGATAATTGGCATCTAATATACGCTGTGGATACTCAGGATTACAACCACGAATATATTGAAACCATGGTTGTGTGTTGCCAATATAATGTTTTGTATCTCTTCCCGTCTTTTTATCCGCGCCGGATACTGTTGGAACAATTACTTCATTCCAGTCATGATCTTTCGAAATACGATTGATGCGTTCTAAATCTTCATCAGCCATAGATATTATCCATAAATAAATCGGATATTTTGGTGCTGGTCTACGATAATCTGTCCAGCCTGCATCAACATGTTTGTATGGCACCAACCAGTGACCTTCGTACTCCTGACGCAATGCCCAATTCGCATCGAGTTGTTGCCGAGCCAGATCAAGTTGACTAATATCTCCTGTTAAAAGCACAGCATTCATACATGCATTCGTTAGCGGCTCAATAATTGTCACGAATCCATGCGGCCAACGCCATCCATAGTAACCACCCCACCATTTACTGTCATTATACTCTCCAATCTTACCGGTTAGGCCAATGTTATCCGGAATTATTCCACCATTTTGATGAGTTCTCTCCTTCCAGGCTTTCAGATATTCTAGTACCCAACGACGATATTTTTCTTCATCCGAATAAAGAAATGCGTGAGTGACAAGACCTGTTGCATTTAGATTAAGAGGCACATCACCACGAGTCATTCGCTCGTTCATGAAATCTATAATGTTCACATATATTTGATCATTCGACCAGGCACATTTGCCACTAGCAAAATCGACATCTGGAATATCTTCATAAGGTGCTAAATAGTTATCCAAAATACCACGATGAGTACTCCAATCCTCGGCAGTAAGTACAAACTGTGGTCCTCGACTACCTGTTATCGGAGAACGAATCAGTTTAAGTTTCTGATCATAATTTTGCGCTTCTTCATCCTCTCCTATGTACATGCCAGCAAAATATAAGGCTCTCTGAAGATCCTTCAAGGTTGATGGTCCTGCTAGTCCAAGAAAATAAAGGTATAAGTAAGCCTCACCATGATGCATCCAATCATAATACGCATCAAACTCGCGATGAATTTGTCGGTATGTAGTCCATTGCCAAGTGATGCCATCCCAAATTTTACGAGAAATATCATACAACTCATCACTTCCACCTAAGATATAGAGAAGCGCCAAATTCATAAAACCTTCGTACGGATCGTCAGATCCGTCCATTCCTGGCCAATCTCGTCGCCAGATTAAGGTTCCATCTGCACGTGTGTAGCGTGCTGTGAATTCAAATGTAGCCTTGTTCAATTGATCGAACAAAAGTCGCTCCATTAGCGCCCATTGTGGAGGGACCACCTGATTTTTTAGCAATATTCTCGGAAGCGATTGCGATGAGATTTGTCCTAAAATAAGTAAATAAGGACTAAATATCAGTATGAAGAGTATATGTATCGACTAACCAGAATTGTCTTGGTGTTTCATTTGAGTATGACAATTGAGACACTCGTTGGCTGTGGTTAAAGAAGAATGTGAAACATGTGCGTTCGCTATATCATCCATTATATGAATCGAGCAACAAAAAATTCAAGGTGGAAGATAAAGCCAAGATAAGCAACATATATAAGGGCTCTCTTTATCATATAAACACTTCATCAAAAGTATATATACGAACATAAGAAACATGAATGTCAGTTGTTTCTTATAGAATCAGAGAACAGTTTAGTCGTTTGTCTTCATAACAATATATAAACAGTATTTGCTGTTATTAGTAATCATGTAGTAAAGAAGACATAGTCAACGTGAAATTTATACGCGATTTGTAACCGTTTTGAACATTGAAAAATGGCAAATTACTATTATAAATGATCAAAATCTCGATAATATGATACATTTTCGTAAGTTCGTTACCTTCCTTCGATACACTTGCAACATCAGAAAAAGATTTTAAGCTGATCCGCAATAAAAAAACGAACAAAAAGAAGAATTTAATAAAATGTACGTTGCATTCTCTTCGGTATGTCCACTTCAATACTCTAAATACTATGTATTTCGGATAATCTTTACTGAAGATATTTTAAATAGAGAGTGTGGATGAATACAAGATCGTGTCACACCCACACCCTAAAACTCCGATCGATAAAGATGGTGGTATCCGTTTATTAACCGAAGATAAACAGTTATTACTATAAACAGCAAAAAGTTTTTATCCAACAAAATAAGATCAAATAAAATATTGAATAATATCGAAATAGACATCATTCTGTAGCCTCTGACAGTAATACTTTTAGAATACAGAAAACAAAACCTTTTTGTTTGTTTCATATAATTAGTTTTACTCATTTATCGGATCTACTCTTTGATTAATTAATAAATGAAATTGTATATTTTTGTTCTAAATATCGGATCATACAGAATAAAATAATATTACACCAAAGTTTTGCTAATTAATAAAAATAAGATTTCATTTCTTATGTAACTAGAGTATATCAAGGCTTCTTATTTCAAAGATTAGTTGATTAGGATTTTTTACAAAAGTTGTCTAGTTTCATTATCCTTTGAAAAGTGTGAATAAATGTGGACAACAAATGAATTTATTGTATTTCAAAGAAATATTTTCAGTGTTTTAATGCCAGTTATTATTGTTGCTGGTACTTTAGGATCTATTCTAAATATAATCGTATTTTCGATTAGTAAAAAACTTCGATCAAGTCCATGTTCACTTTATTTTATATTTGCTTCAATTGGATATGTTATTTATTTAAATATTGTTGCATTACTAAGATATCTTCAAATTAGTTTTAATATTGATCCATCTGTACAATGGTCATGGTTTTGTAAATTAAGATATTATGCTATTGGATTTTTATTAATGTTACCTCGGTCATATATGTTATTAGCTGCTATTGATAGGTAAAATATATTCTTTTTTCTTTGAATAAGAATTATTCTGTACTGTGTAGATATTTAATGAGTAAGTCAGGCCAACATCGTTTATCATCGTATCCAGTAGCTTTAAAAATGATTTTGTTAACATTTTTCTTTTGGATGATTATGTGTGTTCATTTAATAATTTATTTTGATATACAAATTTCATCAAATGGAACAAATCGTATTTGTATGAATTCCCCCGGATCATATTCAACATTTCTTAGTTTTTATTCTTTATTAATCAATGGTCTTTCTATGCCTTTATTAATGACAATATTTGGTTTATTAACACTACGAAACACTCAACAACATCGGAATCAAATTCATAATACTATGACTCTTATTTTACGAAGAAGAAAAAAACAAGAATGGTTAATACTTCGAATGCTTCTTATACAAATAATTGTTAATGTTATTTTATCATTACCAGTAACTATTTATTTATTTTACGCTGGTTTAACACAATATTATAAAAAATCAATGTTTAGAATTTTCATGGAAAATTATGTTTATAATATGTTTACTCTTTTGCAATATATAAACGCAGCTGTAAGTCTTTTATTTCTTTGTACGAAATCAAAAATTACATTTCATTATTTTCTTATCATTATTAGGCATCATTCTACGTTTACTCTTTGACTTCTCGTACATTTCGAAAGGAATTATATTGTCTTATTGTTTATTATTCATCAAAATTAAAACAATATATGATAGATCGTCCAGCAGCATTACTTACTCGATTAAGTCATAATATTGCCTCTTAAAAATCATATGTTCATAATGTTAACATTTTCATGTATAATAAAAATTACTGAAAATATTGTTATCTTTTTTATTTGTGTATGATCAAATCTACGATATTTCACTAGAAATGTGAGGGTATGTATATAGGCGGATTTTACTTGAATATAATATCCACACTCACCCCTCAAGATGGTAACTGATAAACATGATACACTCTGATTTATTTGAGGGTATGTGTCAATGGATATAGATGTGAAATAATGACTATATCCAAACCCACACCGTAGTTACCGTCAGAAATGGGCAGCTTCGACTTTGGAGCTAAGTCAGAGTTGCCCATCTATGTTTACTATCTTGGATAAGTCTGTTTTGTATTTATTTGTCTTTAACTTGAAAAACTTGAGAATGTCGATGTGTATGGAAAGATATAAACAAGAATTACACTCAATCAGAGTCACACCCGCATCCGTTCGAATTCTATATACTGATAAATACTTTTCTGGTGCATTTATTAGTGTGTTATATTTCTGTGTAAAACGTAAAACATATTTCATTTCAGATGAACTATAAGTGAAAGATACGTTTTGAACACACTAAAGATCATGAAAATGTAATTGATTATTTTTTGTTAAAATAACAAAACAATTTCTATCCATTAATGTTGCATATCTAATGCTCTCACTGTACTCAACTGATGTTTGTGATCTAGCAGTTCTATTAATTAGATTTAGTAATTTTGTCTCTTTGTCATATATCAACCATTCTGCATTTGAAAGTGACACCGTACATGGTGATTTCAATATGTTATCTATTTGAATTGCTCGTCTTACGGTACTTATCGATTCTATGTCACGTAATTCAAATCGCCAATGACCACTCTCGTCTTTTGATTTGCTCCACTCTCTTTTAGTTATTCCTATCCAAATAAAGGTTGTCATGGCAAATCGCATATCATTTAGAGTCTCTTCGTGAAAAGTACTACCGACTAATTCCCATTTTTCAACATCGAAAGTGCATATTTGTAAGCCCCAATTAATTGTATGATAACCTAACATAAATGATCTTTCGAAGCATGCACAATTTTCGTATGATTTTATTCTAACAGTGTAACACTGCTGTTCAACATGCTGAATTTCGTTTGTGTTTTCATCATACGTATAAAATGAAAATGTTGGAGAGTCAGCAACAATAATGAATTTGTTAAGAAGCGACGACCAACAAATGTCATAAATGTAACCATACATCCATTTCGTACGATTTATAATATTTCCATTACGATCAATTATATAGATATTCTTATTCGAACAGTAACAGAGTAGTGATTTTGTAGATGGACACAACTGTAATACATCGTGACCGTCTTTTATATCGATGACCATTCGAGGTCGATTTTTCAGTTGTTCAAAATCAAGTTTAGTTGCATAGATATGTGTTTCTTTACTGTAGTTACAAATTATTCCATTATCATTTAAAAATGTTATTTCATAAAATCTTTTATTGTTATCGATCACGTGGACATTAGCTGACTTAGACAACACTGCTTCTTTTACGATATTATCTATTTCTTCTAGTCGTTCCTGCTCTTTCTCGCATAGTAACAAAATAACATTCCAAATATCATCACGAATTTTTCTAATACCTTTGATTTTGAATACTGAGCATATCGAGAATAGAACTTCTTCGTTTTGAGAGTAATTGAATTGTTGAACTGCAGCATACGGAGCTTTTGTGTTTACTGACGGATCGATTTTTATTTGAAATAAAACAGATCTTAAATTACCATGAGGAGTGATTGAAGATAACGCTGTATCTCTGCATGTATAAGTTAAGAGAAAATTATTTGCCATTAAAAATCCATCCACATTCATTTTCAATTTGTCTAATTCCTCATTAGATAAATTTTGACCAAAATAAACTATCGATGGCTCCATTTGTAACGATTGTGAATATAAATGTTCTATCTGTTGATGTAAATCGAAAATGAAAAATTTTAGTTTGGTTAATATATCATGGTTCTTAATTCGCACACCTCTGTTAAGAATATCGGTTAAAAATACTTTGCGAGTGTACCACCATATAGCTTTGTCTGAATGATAGTCTTTATAAAATTCTTCTGTTAATTTCAGTTGATCATCATTGCCTGCATACAGTAAGCGACATTCGTCAATTAGATGTTTTTTATTATTCTGTCCTTTCACAATTGTTGATAAAAGTCTTTCTACACGATAGTTAGCGAATACAAACGATGCCTTCATATCAGTATCATTGTCGTCATCTAATAGAGAATCACATAAACTTAAAACATTGATTTTTAATACATTATTTGATAATGATAAAACAGCTTGCTTCAAATGATTACAAACAGAATTTATGTCGCCATATTTTCCAGCAATTTTGTTTTCGTATTTTTGTTTTATTTGTATTTTATTCATTGATGATTCAAGCAAAATATATATTGATACAATTTGTTCAAGTTCGGTAACTATTGGAAGTACTTGTTGACATAATGAAGCCGATAATATTAAGAAAATTTTTTCATCTACATTTTCATTTATGTATTCAACGCAAGGTTCGAGTCGATCAAATATTCGTAAGTAGTTAACAATACGGCGCAAATGAGTTTTTGATGATGTAAGCTTATCACTTTCGATATTTTTGATAGAAGGATTCAACCAGACTATTGAAAAATTTTCCAAATTACTTTGATTAGATTGATTAAATGTAGTATGAAAATTGGTGGTCAATGTAGGGTCTTCATTCTAAATAAGAACATTCATTGTCATTTTGAGAGTGTGCGTGTGGGTGGGAGTGTGGGATGTGAGTGGGAGTGTGGGATGTGAGTATTTAAATTGTCATATACTTACACCCACACTTTCACACACTCTTATATCTTTCACATAAAAATACTAACCTGTTCATTTATTGTAGAAGTTGTTGTCTTGTTACAATCCGCTAAGGACTTATTGCTCTTGACTTGTTTTTTATTTTGCTGTGTATTGGTCATTTCATTTTCAGACTTAGCATTCACACTGCTAACGATGATACGATTATTTGATTGTTTCTCATTAGATTCTTGATGACCATCTGTTAGTCTTTCGCTGATAATTTCTATAATATATTTGTGAACAAGAATATTTGAAATAAACTAGTTTTTGTATAAACATGAAAGTGATTTTTCATGTTATAAACATCGAAAAGAACTGTATAATATATAATACTTACTAGATTCAGATAATGATTCTGTCGTTTGAACAATATTTGATATCATAGAATCAGACAACGTTTCATCCAGAGATCCAAGACTTGGTAATGATACATTTGGTTGAAAATAAAGCTATAAATAACTATTAATTGTCATCCATAAACTTTCATTCTTACCTGACTATGTTTTTCTGTAAGACTTGCTTCGATTTGACCCATCATATAAACTATTTGTGCACAATCTTCGACATTAGTCATGCTCATTTTTTCAACTTCTATCCACATCTGTTTTAGATCATTGATATGTCTGTAAGAAAATGTTTCTTCTTGATATACTCAAAAATTTGCAATCTCACTTTTGGTTCATTAGCTGGAACTGTTTTAGTTTTTGTTCATATGTATCATATTCAGACTTGAGCGTGCGATCGAAAGTTTCTTTAGTAGAACTTAGAAGATCGAGTGATATAGAAATTTCTTCAATAGTCTTTTCCAGTCTTTCACATTTCAAAGCTACAAAAAATGATACTTTTATGATTGATCAAAACTTCCACGCATTATATCGTGAGTGTGATTGTAGTCATGAAATGATGACAACACTCTCATCTACATTCTTTTTCGTGTAGATAGTGCCGACGTAGTGTAATGTGTGGAAATACAGTAACATGGTTTTTATATAAAACTATTCAAATTCTCACAAGCTATATCCTCGAAAAGTAAATGCAAATAGAATAAAATAACTGGAATTCATTGTGTAAATAAGCAAAAAACATAATATGAGTTATTTAACTTACTGGTCTGTTGGCGTAAAGAGTCAACTTTTATTTTTCTTTGGCAGAGTTTGTCTTCTTGTTGATGTTTTTCAATACATGAAACACATTTTGCATATTGGCATAACTCACAAGCTTTCAGGTCTGCAACTGTTTCACAACCTACACATTTTGCATAAATAACCGGAGAAATGGGTGATGTTGCATTTGGCTGTTTGTTTTGTTTTCTTCGTGTCATTTTGATTTTGCACAAGTAAGAAGTGTTGTGTATCTCACATATGCTCCTTGATAAAAACCTCCACTTTTCTTTTCTTTTCTTATTTATATAGGTGATGTGTGAAATAACCATGTGCTTTATTGCATGATGTGTTGCAATAAAGTTGTGCAATATAGTGGGAAAAAATAAGAAAAATAAGAGGATAACGAGTGACTGATGCGTATAACAGAATTTCTTGTTACTTTCAAAACAAATTTTTTAAATATTATGTCGTCAAAATATTGTTGATTAGCAAACTATTATTAATAAAGAAGAAATGGATCTTTATATTATTTTTTAATAAAAAAAATATGTTTCACACTCAACATATATGAAGCTCTTATATATCATGGATATTTTCTTATTGTAAAATAGAAGGAATTGTATCGTCTGGTGATCGAATACATAAGGATAAACGTTCATATTTCGAGAAAAAAATTTGAATAATTTGTTAAATCTCATGATTACTTATAGATTGTGAGCTACCTCTTATTCTACATAATTTTAAAGAGAGAATCTTACGAGATAGATGATTACATATAGAAACATTATTCTAATGTTCTGTCACTATTTGTCAGAGACATTTTTATGCAATCAATGAATATAAATGAGGTGTATTTTTTAATAAACCAAGAAAATTTTCTGATGATATTGTTGAGACAGTGCCAATCTCTGCATGTCGCAATTTAGTCAATATATGCATTCATCTGATTGAATCAAAATTATTTACATTATTTCTATTCAAATTTTTATCAAGATCAGGTAATTTATACAGAATTTCTAATGTTTTAATATCAGAGAATACATTCATATTGAAATCTTTGTTATAATCCTTGAATAAAGTTGAAACGATTCTGATAGAAGAACTTTTACTAGTTGATAGAATCGGTTTTTTCTTTCCACTATATATTTATATATTATGACGAAAGCATCTACCATAAATAATAAACAACAGGTTGTAGATAGTAATGAAATAGATATTCTTTGGCTAAGAAAAAATTATCGTGCTTCTTTTGAAAAAGAGAAAATGAATGTTTTTTATTTTTAAAGCCAATGAAGAGCGAGTATTTTATTTATTTTGTTAATTGCAACGCATTTCCTGTTCTTTGATATAGAGAAGTTATGAGGAATACAGTCAAGAATGTCCCTGAGAAAATTTCTTTTCAAAAATGTCCCTGTTTTTTCGTCCTTCAGAAAAGTCCCTCGTATAAAATGACCTCTGTATAGAATGTTCTTTGAGGGTGTGGTGTGAGGGTGGGTGTGGGTGTGGGTATGGGCGTGGGCGTGAGTGGATGTGGGTGTGGGTGGGTGTGGATGTTGGTGTGCATGATCATGATCATCTATTACTCACACCCACACCCACATTCTTTATTATAAAATATCGCCTCAGTTATTTGTGAATATCAATGATGTATACGAAGTACTTTTCTTATTTGTTCTCTATTTTCAATAATGAATAATTGATCATTATTTATGACAGAGAATAAAAAAGAAAAATGTTCTCTACAAGATAGTTATGAATATAAAAAGAATAGTGGTGGAATGAAAAAAATAAAAGTAAAAGACTTATAGACGAGATTAATTTATTAAGTCTATTCATTATATTCAGTTGTTCTTCTGTCTGCTTGTGGCGAATTATTGACGAAAGATGCTGATATTTTAGCAGCTACAGCATTTTCTTTTGATGTAATTACAATGACGAAATGAAGATATAAACCAGAAAATGAAATAGAAAATTTTTCTAAATGGAAAATGGTTTTTGTACATCATGAAACAGTAATCGATTCGTCAAATTAAAGGAAGTGATGTTGAGTTTAATTGTCTCTAATGACTACAGCTATGGATTCAATAAACTTGATAAATTTGAGGATGAGTGTGAGTGTGGTTGATGCAGATGTGTCCATTTGGTTCACATTCAATGTAGCGTACACCAAACCCACATCCCACCTCACACCCTCATTCAGTAAAATTTAGGTTTCAAATATAATCATAATAAACAGGATCGATCACGGATTCAAAGATTGATAGAATTCTATTAAAATCCGATTGAAATCTAGCAGTCGAAAATCATCGGAAACGTATAAGTATCCGACCGTCAGATCCGCCGTCGAATTTTTTCACCTTGATATGTTACATGTGAATCTCTAACATAAATTAATATGAAGATAATCCAACGTAACTGTGCAGTCACGTAGACTGTATTTGAATTGGTTTTATATAAGAGGTATAGCTTCACAAGTTCGTTATGATTTGTTCTCCAGGGATATACGATTTGACAGATTCTATTACATTCTTCTTTCAGCCAGTTTGATTTTAAGTATATAAGATAGGTGTTCGCGAAACAAATCACCTACATTACATAATTAGTCACTTAATCATACATGCGTACATCGATATACAGGTTTTTGTTATCTATTAATTTCTTTTGGTATGTAACCACAATTATTTCTCGAAAACTAAAGTACTAAAAACTGTGGCTACGATTCATCAATGCATTACCTTTGTGACGACACTAGTACGTGTTGAGAAGAACATTATTACTAACCTCGAAAAGGATCAATGACCTCTCAACTCAAATGAAATCTTCTATATTTTCAGTTATATAATTGAAAGTTCGATACATTAGGCATCAGGACACGTTTTATTCAAGATAGATTATTATACCTGATGTATTCATTATATATCAAAATTTTAAATTAGTATACAAAAGTAAATATCTGATATCTAGGTGTCTGCTGAATTTTCACACATATAGATAAACTAATATATTTGATATATTTATTATTTATCGAAATTTTGAATGATTATACGAAAGTAAATATTTAATATCTGAGTATCTGCTAAATTTTCACACATATAGATAGATTAATATACTTGATATATTTATTATATATCGAAACTTTAAATTACTATATAGGAGTAGATATCCGATATCTGTAAAATAACATGAGATAGCAGATAAATATCATTTAATAGAAACTGGTGACAGTATGAAATTTACCACGATATCATATATTTTACATATGTATCTTCTAATCATATAAAAATAAGAATAATAAGAAATCGTTAAACAGTAGCGCCATCTTCATACTACTAGTATATTATATCTTTTTCTTTTCCTTTTACCTTGGCTTTCTATTTGTATTTAATCTTTTATCTTCGTATTGTTATGCGCGTGATAATACACACATATACGTCATTGCTTATTCTTTATTCGGGAGACAAATTGTGAATAAAATCAATCAATATAATCTATTACCAGCTTTACAATAACAATTTTCTTTTCTATAATACGTTGTTTTGATAATAAGAAATTATACAAGGTAATTATTTTTATATTAATTGAAATAAATAAATTCTTTAACTACAAAGTCAACATTGAATTAAATGAGGGATGTCTTTTGATTTATATATTACACTCAAAATTAAATTTTCTATCTTTTTTTTAAATTAAAGATCTACAAATCATGATTTATTTACCGTCTAATGAAGAATCATCAAATGAACAACCATTAAGTAATTTTCTTATTTAATAAAATATACAAAAAAAATAAAATTATTTTTTTCTAGTGATCAGTTCCAAACTTGAAGAAAATGAAAATAATGACAATAAAAAACTTTGGTATTTATTTCAAGAAAATAAAAATATT